ACAAAGAAATAAAGAAGCCGTGTCTTCTCTCCTCGTTTCCCCTCCAGAGCTTCATCCAGGACCACGAGTGGGGAGAAACAGATTCCCAGTCCCTTTGTTGGCATCTCCTTCTTTTTCTTTCACCTCAATGACTCTCTCTTAAACAGTCAATACCAAACCCAAAGTTTCCCTTCCACTAGAAGGAACTGGTCACATAAGCATGACAGGGGGAGAATGTGGGAGGTTGTGGTTGGAACAGATCATTTCTCCATGTTGTCCCCTTCTAGCGTGTCATTCCACCTTTCTGAACCTCACTTCCCCATCTATGAAATGTAGATCCTAACACTTGAACTGCCTCCCTCACAGGGTTGTTATGAGTCAAGTCCTTCATAAATTGTATTAAAAATATTTTACTGATGCTTTTTTTTTACACCACTGTCATTTCCAAGTAGCTCACTAAGCCTCAAAGTAGAACCCTCCCTCACAACAGAGTTGGATAGCTGAGCATAACAATCAACACATTGGCCACATCTGACACATATGCTTCATTCTGTAACTACAGTCTACCACCTCTCTGCAGAGAAGGAGACATGCTTTGGGAAGTTCTTTGAATTCACATTTAGTCACTGCAGTTAGAGTTCTGATAGCTTTCAATGTTGTTTTTCTTTCTATTTTCGTGCTCACTGTGTAAATTGTCCTCTGGTTGTGCTCATTTCACTTGGCATCAGTTCATACAAGTTTTCTTGTTTTCCTGAACTCTTTGTGCTTGTCATTTTCATGGTGAAAGTAATTTTCAATTAGAATCATATGCCATGATTTGTCCAGCCATTCCCCAATCAATAAGTGCACGATTTGCTTCCAGCTCTTTGCTGCCATAAAAGTGCTACTAGAAATATTTCTGTATGCATATTATGTGGCCATAATATATATGTGTAATTGATGATTTGGAACTTTCTTTCCCTGTGATTACTGTAACTATTGGGGTATAGTTCTTGTTCTTCTATATTTGCATTAATTCCCTATGTATCCTGAATAGCAGACCTTTATCAGAGATATTTGCTTTGAAGTTTTTTATTCCCCAGTTTATAGCTTCTCATTCATTCTGAATTTACTTTCTCCACGTAAAACTTTCTAATTTTATGTAATGAAAGTTGTTTCTTTTATTTCTCATGAATATTTTGATTCCTTCTTTGATCAAGAATTCATAGTTGTGAAAGGCATCTTTACCCATGCATCTGTCTCTCTCTCTTTCTCTCTTTTTTTGGTGGTATGATCTTTTGTAGTTTGGGTCATACATTTGGAGCTTATAGTCATATATGGAATAAGATTACTGGTTTAAACTTAATTTTTGCCAAACTGATTTCTAGTTCTCCTAGCAATTCTTATCAAATAAGGAATTCTTAACCCAGTAGTTTGTATTTTAGCATTTATCGGATAGTTGTTTATCATCTAGTATACCTGATTGCTTCTGGGTCTAATTTACCTAGTCAGTTCCACTGATCAACGTTTCTATTTTTTTAAGCCAGTACCCAATAGTTTTAATGATTACTATTTTATAACATAGTTTAAGGTCTGTCAATGTTATATCCTCACTATTTGCCTTGAGATTCTTGCTCTTTTGTTTATCTAGATGAATTTTATTATTTTGTATATTAAGAGAAATAAAATCCTTTATAGGGTAAATATAATCCTATATAAAATGATCCCTTGAGATTTTGAAGAGTAGAGTACTAAACTTGTAAATTAATTTGGGTAGTATAATTATTTTTATTATGTTGGTATGGCCTGAACATGCACAATGACTATCTGTTCATTTATTTAAATCTTCCTTAATTTCTATAAAGAATGTTTTGTAGTTGCAGTCATATAAATCTTCAATGTGTCTTGATGGGTCATTGTTCAGAAACTTTATGCATTTTGTGACTATTTTGAATGGAATTTTTTAAAAAATCCCTTCCCAACAGCTTTTATTAATACTATATGGTAAGGTTGATGATTTTGTGGGCTCGTTTTATAACACTACTTTACTGAAGTTTTTAATTATTCTGATTATTTTTTCATAGAATGTCTGGATTCGCTTAAAAATTATCATGTCATCTGAAAATAGAGATAATTTTCCTTCTCTCAGCCTATTTTTAAAACCTCTTTTCTTGTATTGTTACCATAGTTAACATTTTTAGAATGATATCAAACAATAGTGGTAAAAATGGGCATTTTTTTACTTACTTCCATCTTTCTGGAAAGATATTAGTGTCAAAAATAATGATAGTTCTTGGCTTTAGAAAAATACTGCTTATCATATTAGGAAAGTTGCATTTATTTCTATGATTTTTACAGCTTTTGAGAATGTAAATGCACGCTACATTTTGTCAAAGGCTTTCCCCTATCTATTGATAAAATCATGTGATTTTATTGTTTTTATTATTAATATGATCAGTTATGTTTATAATTGTTCTAATATTGAATTATCTCTCTTTTCTTGAAATAAACTCAACCTGGTCATAGATTTGTAAATTGTAAAGGAATGCGAGTCTTCTTATTTCTCTTTCTCTCTTTGTTTTTCTTCCTTCTCATATAATGGGAAAAGCAATGGATTTTGATTTGGAGGACCTGGTTTGAAAGTCTAGTTTTGATATTTGTTATCTATGTGATCTTAGGAAACTTACCATTCTTCTCTGGGCCCCATTTTCCTCATCTCTAAAGTGAGAGAAGTAGGCTAGGTAGGGGATGTTTAAAATTGCTTCTAGTTCTACATCCTCCTATGAGCCTCCCCTCTGCCTTCTTATTCTCCTCTTCTATATCCTTCTCCAAGTGGGGATCTCAAGAGGATGCATGTAATAGCAGTTGAATAAATGATGAATGAAGGAAGGAAGGAGTGAATGGGGCAGGAAAGGCACTAAAACTATCCCTTTCTCCCTGAAACGGGGCAATTTATTTCCATATTGAGGATCATACTCTTATGAACACACATATTTAAAGTCAAAGTGAACCTGGTGGGCTAGCTGGGCACACGATGAATACAAGCCAGAGCAAGGAAAGGCTAGAAACATCAGTGGGGTATCCACAGTTAGAACAAGGAGACATCTTGGGTTTCAGGGATCAGGAACCCAAGCAAAAAGTACCAAGTCACAGGAGGAAGCTGGACCTTGGTGCTTCTCAGAGTCCCTGTCATGTTTCAGGCAAGTTCGGGGCTACAGCAATGAATGAAGGTCGTTTTTATATAGGGGAAGCACCCAGGTGGTGGCTGAGTTCAAAGCAGGATATTTTACTGAGGAGTTCAGTCTGGGGAAGTAGGAAAAACAATCTAAGGATAATCCAGGAAATTAATACAGGTCTAAAGCATGAAAGGATTAAACAAGAAAAATGGAGAATTGTAGCAGAGTCAGGGCCAGGACTTATTCATTCAGCTTTCCACTGGTGACTGGCTACTTTGGGGTGTGGTCCAATCACTCTGGTCTGGAATAATGAAATTATAAATTATTAAGACTGAAAAGAAACTTAGAGAAAATTTGTCCAACTCATTCATTTTATAGATAAACTGAGGCCTGGAGAGATGAAGTGACCAGTCTAAAATTATACAGGTAGCAAGTGATAGAGCCAGGACTTGAACCCATGTCTTTTGACCTAGAGGTGTGGTGATCTTGACATTCCATTAGGCTTCCTTTTCAGATGTCCTTACCAAATAACAGTGACTGTGGAGAAGCCTTATCAAAGACCAACAGTGGCCCTTTAAATCCATCTGGTCCAGTCAGGTTCATGCAGGGTCCTGAGTTACTTTAGTTTAAAGGCAACAGAAGCCCTCAGGCAGCTGTCAGAGCAACTACTCCCAAGACATACTCCTCCATCTCCCCGCCCCTTTTTTTTTTGCTTTTTGGTGAGGCGATTAGGGTTAAGTGGCTTGCCCAGGGTCACACAGCTAGTAAGTGTCAAGTGTCTGAGGTCAGATTTGAACTCAGGTCCTTCTGACTCCAGAGCCGGTGTTCTATCCACTACACCACCCAGCTGCCCCTATCTCCCCTTTTTCTATACACAGCTTGAATAACAGCGTGAGAAGCTGTCTTGGGGAAAACAGTCCTTCATTCAGCTCAAAGGAGACTTGAAGTTCTCTATTTGTCTCCTCTGTCTTGAGCAACTAATGAAGGTGGAACTTTGTATTAGACACTGGGTGAAAAGATAGAAAAAATGCCTTACTTTAATGAAGGGACGCAGAGTTCCTGTGTTCTGGCAGTCCCTAGTATGATGGTCGACACACTCACCTTTGGTGAATCCAATCAGAGAGTCAGACATAATCTACCCTCAGGGAGCCTAGGTCAAATGGAAATCTACTTCCATTTCCATTTCCACATTGCTTTTAGACATAAGATGGAAGTATAATAACAGAGAGGCAGCATGGAATAGCATAGAGTCTTAAATGTGGAGTCAGAAAATCCTGGCTCTCCTAATTAATTCCTGAATGTCCTTGGGCAAGCCACTTAATCTCATCTAGGCCTCAGTTTCTTCACTTATAACATAGGAACATAGAATTAGATGAGTTCTAAGGTCCCTTCAAGGTCTATATTTATCTATGAGACATCTTCCCTAGAGGATATTGAATGAATGTAGGGGTGAGGGAGAGGAGCTACTTAGGAAGGAGGTAGGGTGGGAAAGGTTAGCTGGGAACAAGCATAGGGAATATGAATCTGAGAAACTTTTAAATTAATTTTTTCCCTAATTACCAGGCATTTATATTTTCCTCCTCTCATCCCTCTCATTGAACAAAATAAAAAGAAAGAAAAAAGAAAAAAAAACACAAAACCCCCATAACAAATATACAAAGTCAAGCAAAGCAAATTCCCTCATTGGCCACGTCCAATAACATTCTACATTTTGAATCTATCTCCATCCTCTAAAATTATAGCTTGTCAGTACATCGATCAGAGTTCTCATCTCTTTCAAAGTTTTATTAATAATAGTTATTATATACATTATTTTTTGGCTCTATTCAGTTCATTACCAATCAGTTCATGCAGATCTTCCTAGTTTTTCTCTTAGACCATATATTTCACAATTTCTTACAGCACAATCATTTTCTATTCCTGTACCATAATTTGTTCAGCATACTCCAATAGGTGGGCATTCCCTGAGTTGCCAATTTTTTTACTGCTATAAAAAAAGACTCTGAGCAGTTTTCTGAAGGAGGGGAGAGAAGAGAATGGTAGATAAGGATAGGATTTAGGGAATCTTTCCATGACGGAGTCTTTGGTTGGACGGATGACAAAAGGTTCACGCTGACTTCCTTGAGGTCCCGGTCTAGATGCAAAGGGTAAAGTTGTGGTCTAGACCTGGTTTCATGAATGTAATGTGGACTTCTGGGGCTGAGGTGGGCAGGGTATCTTACAACGCCACTTCCCACTTCTATTTCTAGATAAAGATGCCCTTGAAGCAGCCATTGTGAGTGGTGACTGAGCAAGGACAGAGGACACAGTGTGGCCCAGACCAGGATGAAGGAAAATGAGATGGAAGTCCAAGTGGCCCATTTCACCGTAGACAACCAGGACATCTCCCTCTGGCCCCGAGGTGAGTCCAGGGGACTCTGCTCTGTTCTCCTGAATATACAGACCCTCCTCATTACCTCTTTCTTGCCCATTCCTGCATTTGACCATCTTTGCCAGCTAACTGGCATATATTTGCATTTATTCTGTATATTCTGAATAGAGATAATATATAGAATATATATAAAACATAGAAATACACATATAGAACATAGGGATAATAGAATAAGATAATCTTACAGATGTACTTTTTGCTCGATCAGTTAGGAAGGTATTAAGTGCTTACTAAGGGTCGGGCACTGTATATATAAAGAAAGGCAACTAATCTCCCAGTAGAATACTTGCTTCTTTTTTTAAGGCAATCAGGGTTAAGTGACTTGTCTAGGGTCACATAGCTAGTAAGTGTCTGAAGCTAGATTTGAATTCAGGTCCTCCTGACTCCAGAGCCAGTGCTCTACCCACTGCACCACCTAGCTGCTCCAGGATGCTAGCTTCTTGAAAGTAAGGATTTTTTCATTCTTTGCATTTGTAACCCCAGCAACTAGCATAGTGCCTGACACACATAAAGCATTTAGTAAATGCTCATTGATTGATTAACACATATTTGGGGTCTGGCTCTTCCACAACTTTCTTTCTTTTTTTTTCTTCTCCCAACAGATCCTCCTCCAAAGAAGAAGTCACCTGCAGCCCCGAGGACCTTCCCCTTTATCTATGTAGCTATTATTCTCTTGGCAGTGGGCCTGGCTGCTTTTCTCCTGGCCATGATCATTCTCTGTAAGTTAATGGCTTTGAGTTCCCCCAATTCTTGGTCTTTCCCCAGCTTGGGGGAGGGGGAGAGCTTCTTCCTTGCACACTCACAGATGAAGTTACTCCTCACCCCACTTAGGCTTTGCCCTGTTCTTGGTGGCCACCCTTTCCCAGACCTATTCTCTTTCCTCTATGTCTGCATCTCCTCCTCCTCCTTCAGACTCCTTTCCCAGGTCTGCTCATCTCTGACCTCCCACTGTAGAACAGACAATAAGATCCAGAGCTAGAAGGGACATCCAGTCCCACCTCTCATTTTACAGATGAGGAAACTGAGGACCAGAGAGGTTAAGTGACTCTGGCCACAAATTCCCATAGTTTCCCTTTTCCCTTTTCCTCCAGACTCTTCCCCCAGTCTCTTGCCTCCCCCTCCCTATGGCTCTTTCACTAGTTTTATGTACCCGCATCTTTGGTTCCTATCCCATGTCTGTATTCTGCACCCCATTCTCATGGCTCCCTAGATCCTCCCCTGGTCCTACCTCTCTGCACATGGTGACTTGTCTATGACCCCCTGCTGTCCCTCCTCTTATCAGCCCCACTATTAGCTGTTCCTTTGTACAAGCCTTTCTACCATATCAGGCCTAAGTGGGGTACAATAAAAAAAAGCACTTTCTGAGGTCAGAGGAGGTGGGTGCAAAATCCCACTTGGGACACTGCTTGTGTGGCTCTGACCAAGTCAGTTAGTCTCTCTGAGCCTCAATTTCCTCATCTGTAGAATGAAGGGTTTGGAATAGATGCATCAACCCTCCAGCTGACCTTGTAATTTTCTCCTCCTCAGATCCCCAGTTACTGGGAAGGATAGATGATGTCAAGACCTCTGTCGACATGCTCAAAGGCCGTGCAGAGAACACCAGTATCTTTCTCAGTTCTGAGATCAGGAAGCTAAGAAACAAGTTGGAGGATTCCCATGTACAGGTCCAGGCGCTAAACCACAGCCTGGGGTATTCGAAAGTTCAGATGCAGCTATTAAATGCCATGTTGAAGCAGGACACTGCTCAGCTTCAGGCATTAATGAGCAGTTGGGAAGAGCTTGAGGCTTTAAATGCCCAGATTCCGATGCTGAAACAGGATTTGAAGAAAACTGGGGAGCTAAATTCCAACGTCGAGCAGCTCAGGAAAGATCTGCAGACCCTGGGGACATCACTGTCACAGCAGCGTGAGTGAGCCTTGTCTGTGGGGGAGGACAGGGTGGGAAATGCTGGTCCTAAAGCTTTAGATGCTAAGGAGACTGGGGAGGTTGGGTCTCAGACCAGCAGAGCTCAGGAAAGAGTTCCCGGGATGGAGAAAGGGATGCACACAGAGGGGATAAAGAGCCCTGCCATGGGGAAAGAGACCTCCCCACGGGGGGATTGGAGAAGGCTCCAGGATCCTTCAGATGAAGAGGTACCACAGAAGAAAAAAAAAAGATGACTTCTGGACTGTGACTTTAAAGATGAAAGTCATTGGAGAACTTGTCTGGTCTTTATCAGCCCTGGCTGTTTTATACTAGATCACATTATCAGGTGGAGCATGGGCTATCACTTGCAGTCTACATCAAGAGCCAAGTACAACATCCCCCTTCTTCTAGTCTCAAGATCTGAGCTCTGCCACTGGCTTTGCTGTGTGAGCTTGAGCATGTCCAGCATCATAGAATCTCAGTGGTAGAAAGAACCTCAGAGGCAGTCCAGCCCAACTCACACTTGAACAAGATCCCCTAACAAGCCTTGAATTTGTAGTCAAAGGACCTGTGTTCAATTCCTGTTTCAGTCCTTTACTATCTATGTGACCATGGGCAAGTCACTTAACCTCTCTGGGCCTCAATTTCCTCATAAATGAAGGGGTTGGACTTAAGGCTCTGTAAAGCTGGAAGGCCACCTCTATATCTATAATCCCATGACCTATGATGAGGGACCCCTCTAAATCCTAAGGCAGCCCATTACACTTTCAGATAACTTTTAGGAAAGTTTTCTTTATCTCAAGCCTAGATTTGCCCATTTTCTATTTCTACCCATTGCTTCTTATTCCACCCTCCTAAATTATTCCCCCCACAAGAAAAAGTCTAATCCTTTTTCCATGAATCAACCTTTCTTTTCTTTTTGTATAGTTAGTATTTTATTTTCCCCAGTTACATGTAAAAACAATTTTTAACATTTGTTTTTAAAACTTTGAGTTACAAATTCTCTTCCTTCTTATCTTCCCACCCCACCTCATTGAGAAGGCAAGCAATGTGATATAGGTTATACATGTGTAGTCATGCAAAACATATCCATAATAGTCAATGAATCAACCTTTCAGATACTTAAGTCTTGTCTTCTCCAGAGAACCTTCCCTAGCTTCTTCAACCAATTCTCAAAGGACATGATCTCAAGGTCCCTCACCATCCTAGTTACCTTTTTCTCAATACTTACCAGTTTATCAAGGTTTTTCCTAAAATTTGGTGGCCATAATCAAACATAATACTCTGATATTATTTGATTGACCAAGGCATAATACAGCAAGATCAGCAAATTGTGCATTGACCTTGGAATCAGCAAGATTTGAGGGTGAATCTTGTCTTAGCTACTTACCAGCTGAATAACCCTAGGCAAGTCAACACATCTATGGGCCTCAGTTTCTTCATCTGTAAAATAATAATAATAGCTAGCATTTACATAGTGCTTTTATCTTGAGTATCAACTTCCTATTAGCCATTTTTGTTCTGTCCTTTCCAGTACAAAGATAATTTTCTTTGGCAGGAAAAACAGAAATAAAATAAGTTGGGAAGCTCTGTCTTCTCTCTGTAATTAGTTATCATCACCCCATCCACCCATCATAAATAGTGGTCCTAGCCTTTCTTTGAGCCCCCTCTTTCCTTCTGCTCATGTGTTTTTTTTCAAACTTAGGTTAGTTAATGATGCATGTACAAAGTTCTCTTTAGGCAAGCCTTCCTTTTCCACCCCATCAGAATTGTTCCTCCATATTTTCAGAATTTCATTTTTGAGAACTTCTCATGCTTCCTGAGATGACTTCTCTTGTAGAATTTAGGTCACAGGATCTTAACTATGTTTTCTCTGAACCCTTTGAGATGTGCTCTTGCTACAGCAAACATCAGACTATATCAACTTTTCTCTTACTCTCTATTGCAAATTCCAATATGGAGTGATCATTTCTCTTCAAGTGGTCCTATCATTTCCACTCCAGTAATTTGTTCCTTCTTGTTGATGAGAATGAGATAAAAAGAATAGAAGTTCCCGTTACTCGTTTCTCCATCTTTTGAAAGATCAAATTATTAAGGCAGATGGCAGGATAATTGAAGTCCCCCACGTACCAGATTTGTGCCAGATTTGTGATCTGTTCCTGGAATGTATCATCTATTTCTTTTATTTGTCCAGGTAGTCTGTAGAAGATTCTAATGATAAAAGTACTTTTATTCTTGCCACAACTGGTCTTCACCTAGATGTCCTCCAACGTGCTTCCCCACCGCTCCACTTCTCTGACTCTTGGAATTCTTACCTATCCTGTTCGTTTTGAATAAAGCATACTCTCCTGGACTCATATTCCAGTTATAGGTTTCATTGTACCAAAGTTCAGTGATAAAAATGGGATCAAATTTGCCTCCTTGCACTAGGTTCTTTATTGCTTCAACTGCTTTGTTGCCTGCTATTTGTGTATTTGAGGCCATGAGTTTTATCAGTGGTTCTTTTCTTGGATTTTTGATCTCTTTGGACCCTCTCTGAGGGTCTCTCTTGCTATTCTTCATCCCACACTGTACCTCCTATCCAGTTTAGTGGGTTTATGGAGGCAGTGTCCTCCTTGGACCCTCTTCCTTTTCAAATTAAAGCCCATTTGATTAGATTTGCAAAATGCCAAGAGAAGACATTTTTATCGGTTCTTGTTAGGTGCATTTCATCCCCGTCCAGGAGCATGCTCTCCTATATTCTAAGCCATTGTCCAGAAACCTAAATACCATTCTCAGACATGATTTTTTCAACTCACTGTTCACTTTTTTCAATCTGCCTTTTTCCTTGGAAAAGAAAGCCTTGCCTTTGATCACCAACAGTAATAAAGGCACTACTTAGATCTTCAAGGTCAGTCTATCAGTCAATAAGTATTTATTAAAAGCTTACTAAGTGCCGGGCACTGTGGTAAGTGCTAGGGATACAAGGAAAGGCAAAATAATGTCTCTGCTCTCAAGGAGCTCACATTCTAGTTGGGAAGACAACATGCAAACAACTATGGATTTAGAAGTAATCTCAGAAGGAAGGCACATGGGTGTGTGCGTGTGTGTGTGTGTAATATGGTGGACTGAGCTGAGTATTGAAGGAAGCAAGGAAAGCCAGGAGGAGAAGGAGGTGAAGAGGGAGAGCATTCCAGGAATGAGGGACAGCCAGTACAAAGGCATGCTGTTGGAAGACAGAGGGTCTTGTGTGAGAACAGCAAGAAGGCCAGTGTTGCTTGACTGTAGAGTAGACCTCCATTTTCTCGATTCCTTCTAGTGGTATCATTTGTATCCATGTCAATCACCACAAGTGGTTGTCAATCACCATAAGACTCATCTGGTCTGATGAGTATTGGGAGGTTCTCTATTACATCTTGGATACCTGCTCCAACAAAATGGTAGACCTCTCTTCTTATTATCAGGTGAGCAAAAAGTCACTTCAGTAGCCTTCAGTAGGGTGTCACCAACCACCACTGTTTGTCTCTTCTTCTTCTGATCCTGTTGGGATGGTCTTTCCCTTGTCAACTCTTGGAGCTTTGAGTCACCATTCCCTGGAGGGGGAACAGCAGCTTTTTCCTTCTCAATGATTCAGCCCCCTCCTTTTGGGGAGGATACCCCTATCTATTGTTTAGCTCCAAGTATTCAATGGTTCTTGAATTTCTGCTCTATGCCCTGTTCTTCCACTCTCCAATTTCCTGACACAGTTCACGACCTCTCTCTGCCTTTTCAGATCTTTTATCTTCTTTGTTTTCCCATTGAATCCCCTTTCCCCTCCCCCACTTTTAAACGGATCTTCATTCTTCTTGATAACCTGGAGAAGGCAGAAACATTCTTTGAGAATCTTGACCTTATTTTCTAGGAGGGAGACCAGCCTGCTCTTTGAGTGTGGATAAGTAAGAAATACAAACATCACATAATCATGACAGGGCACTGCAAAATTCACCTTGCTCTCCAAACTTCCTGGAAATGATATCCTCATTTCTTTCCCCCATTTTTCCCCATTGGAACATGGTAACCACCTGCTTGAGGGCATCTTCAGCTCTAAAACTCTTTCTTCTATCCCTATTAGCACCTGCTGACTCCTCATACCAATGACAAAGTCACCACATCCAACTTCCTTTTTCTTAACTTTGTTTTGCCAACTTGTCTTGTCAACTTCCTGGTTCTCTTCATGTTCTCCTCTTTGGTTCCTCCAGTTCTTCTATTTCACTTCCTTCTACTTCAAGCCTTTCTCCTCCCTCAGTTCTAAACCTTCTTCAATTGGAGTTTTCTTCAACCTCTTTTCAAGTTCTCCTCAATTTTCCATCCCCCGAAGTCTTTCCTCCTCTGTTGGACTCAGTTTCAGCATATAAAAATAAGATTAGATTAGATTAGATTAGATTAGATTAGATTAGATCAGGGACTCTTAATGTGGGATCCATGAGCTTGTCTGAAAAAATTGATAGCTGTATTTTAATGTAATTGGTTTCTCTTGTAATCCAACTTTTTAAATGCATTTTAAAACATAAACCCAAGAAGGGTGCATAGATTTGATCAGATTGCCAAAGGGATCCATCATACACAAAAAATATTAAGAACCTCTGGACTCAATGATAACTTAGGAGCTTTCCAGTCCTGACATTCTGTGAGTGTATTAGACTTCCTTAGAAAGAGGATTCTCCCTTTTGCTTCCTGGACCACTCAATATCATGGCACTAGAATCAAAGATCCTTGAAAGATTTTCCCATTACTCCATGCTGGGCCTGTGGGAAAGTTTTGGAGCCTCTTGGGGTCTTGGGGACCACTTGGGTCAGCCTCTATAAGGATAATATTGCTTGTAAGTAGTGAATTCCCCATCTCTGGAGATCTTCAAGTGGATATGGGATGAGTACTTGTTGGACATATCTCAGTGGTCATTCCTGCCCAGATGTGGGTTAGACTCAGTGTCTTCTGAGGTGCCTTTAAAGCTTAAGATTCTGGGCTCCTGGCAATGTAATATTTCACCTCAACCTTGTTCCACAGGTCACATTCTGGAGATGGCCTCTCAAGACTGGAAATTCTTTGGAGGGAACTTTTACTATTTTTCTACCATGAAAAAGTCTTGGTACAGTGCTGAGCAGTTCTGTACCACTCACGATTCTCATCTGACCTCAGTGACTTCAGCAAAAGAACAGGTCAGTGACCAAAGGGATATTTGACACAGAGGATAATGAAAGGTAGTATGGTGTAAGGGAAATCAGTGCTGCATTTAGAGTCAGGAGATTTGAATCCTGACTCTAAAACTTCTTAGCTATGTGACCTAGGACAAGTCCAGGGATTGTTGTGAGAGAACCACTTTGTAAAATCTACAATCCTATAGAAGAAGGGATTATTGTCAGTACTGGGAAGTGGGAGGGAAAACATCTCATCTATGCACATTGGGAAAACAAACCTTTCCTCATAAGCACTTATAGGAACATCTATCGAGGGGAGTGATCCTTCTGACTCAGGGCCAGAGACAAGGAGAAGGCCCTGAGCAAGATAACAATAGTAAGCCCTAGGTGTCCCTGATCATAGCAGGCTCTAAGCTTTTGCTGTAACATAGGCCATTCGACTTATAGGCCTTGGAGAATGGGGTTTTCTGACATTTAATAATATGGGACTTGTAGTAAGTTCTACTCTAAAGTGTTCCTCATTGACTCATTCCCCCAATGAATTATGTGCCCTAATCTGCTGCTCAGATCATCTATCCCTTGTCCTCCTCCTACTCCTCCAACCAAATCTCCATCTCAAAACTGGAGCTGTGTTCATCATAAAGGGGACTTTGGGTTCTATAGTTATCCCTTCCAAATCACAACTTTCCCCATTGCAGTTTTGAATATCACAGCATAAGAATATCACATTTTGATATTTGATTGTGGTATTTGAATGTGGTATTTGAATATCACATTAGCATAAGAAATTAAATGGGAATTTTGGGGGAGTTTTTTGAAAGCCACAGATGACACTTGGAGGCCAGCAGACAACACAGAGCCTGTGACCAAATACTTAACCCAGATTTTACTATAAGGTACTGTAAACATCCCCTAAAAGAAAAAGAAGAAATTCAGACTTCTTTGGTACAAAGGGAGGGCCAAAAAATTTTATGAGGATTTCCAGATCATCGGGGCACTGTGCTCCCAGGACCCCAGTGATGTGGAAGGGATAACTGTAGTCTCTGAGCTCTGGCCCAGTGACAAAGCAGAGTCAGCATCGTGACCAAGGGCCAGGCTGATCCCCGATCTGCAAGAACCTGCATGTCACCTGGAAAGGAAATAGGTGCTAAGTCCTGTGTTGGTCCTATGGGTCCTATGCCAGATTACAGCCTTAGACTGGAGACCAATTTTGTTTCCCTTTGATCCTTGGGAATTCAGTTAATTTGTAAACACACATACATATACATATACTCAAGTGGTTCCCAGAACCCCAAGAAGCTCCAGAACTTTCCTACAAGCCCAATATGGGTGTAATGGAAAAACCTTTCAAGGACCTTTGATTCTAGTGCCATGATACTGAGTGGTCCAGGAAGCAAGGGGGGGCAGGGAAATCCTCTTTTTAAGGGAGTCTAATGTACATATACAGCCTGGGCAGGTGACAAAAACAGATCCTGTGCTTAAGTGAGATAAATATTCTGCCTCCATAGAGCTCACACCATAGCAGAGGGGCTAAGATACAAACAAGGTAATTGAGATATGGAATGATAAGCACATTAAAGAGGTGTAAAAAAATAAGGTCCCCTTTGGAGGCATAGACTCAGAGGCACAGACATACATACAAACACAAAGAAACACATTACTCTCCACTCAACCTCAATTCCCCTCACTCAGTTAACAGCACCTTCTCTGTCATTTTCATTTTGTAGGAGTTTCTTTATAAGGTAGCCAAAGGAGTTCCTTATTGGATTGGCCTGACAAAAATAGGATCTTCTGGCAGCTGGCACTGGGTTGATGGAACCCTATATATAGAGAAGGAGAATGTTCGGTGAGTCCATAATCATGCCTGCTCTCTCCCTGGCCCTTTCCTTTTTTCATGGCCCCTGGTAGATGCCTGGATCCTGGAGGCAGAGCCAGAGAAAAAGTGACCCCATCTTGTCCTGTCCAGTGTGTGTAGGCTTTCAGAAGGCAGGGCTTTGACCTGTGAGTCAAGAAACAAGGGCATTAGGCCTAGAACTAGAGCTCTCACTGAGTCTGTGATCTTGGCCAAGTTTCCTATCTTTGGGCCTTTGTTTCCTCATTTGCAAAAATTAAGGTTTTGGAATAGATGATCCCTCTTAGCTCTGAAGTTCTATGCTCAATGTTTTAAAGTGCCTTTCATGTCTGACAGTCTATAGCTTGCTTTTATGTGTGATGTGTAAGTGCGTGTGTGTGTGTGTGTGTGTGTGTGTACCCATGTGTATGTATTTGTGTTTAACATGGAGGCCTGAGAACTGGAGTCCCAGCTCAGGCTTGATTTTGGCAGGTTTGAGGGACTCAAAGCTAAATATCTTTTGAGGTATCTTCTGTTCCTCACTGTGGCTTCAGTAGATATAGTCTTTCCAAACAGTCCTTAACTGGAAATAAAATTTGAGATCAAAAGACCTAGGTTCTCCTGGGACCTAGGCTGCTGCTTCCCCAATATGGACCTGGTTCTGAGACCAAAGGCAAGAAATGGAGGGTTGTGTGCTATGATATGCTCTTTTCTCACCAGGTTCTGGATAAAGGGGGAACCCAATGACAGAGGTGAAAATGAGCGTTGTGTAACTTTAGTGAAGTCCTCTCTGATGTCCTGGAATGATTTAACTTGTGACAGTGAGGTCCAATTCATTTGTAAGAAGGGCCCCAAACCATCAGAGACTGACTAGTTCCATGATGGGATTCTGCTGCATCCTCCCAGCTTCTCCCAAACTTAACATAAGGATGATGGTCATCCCTCCAACATCCACAGGGAATTTTCTCCTTAGCTTATTGTGTTTTAATGTCATGCCAAAATATTCTGGGACCTGCATATATCACCTGAGACTCACTTTGCCTCAGCAAGCTGGGGAGGAGGAAAACAGAGGATAGAGAGAAGAGGACATTGAAGAAACTGGGCTGGGGTTGTCTGGAGAAGGTCCTGATATGTCTCCTACTTGAGATTTCACTCTTTCTCATGGCGGCATTGCCATTCACCAACCTCCCACGTTCAAAACCTTGTGGTTATTATTGACTCTTCTCTCTTCATCACCTCTGTATGTCTGGGCAGTTACTCAGTACTATCAATTTCCATCTCCCCAATATCTCTTCCATCTTCACCTTCTTCTCTATGCCCTTTGCTACCACCTGTACCAATGAGGTACAGGCCCTCATTGCTACCCCTCTAGACCCTTACAATAGCCTCTTGACTTTTTTTCTACCTTCTCTCATTTCTCCTTTCTAACCATTATTTATTCCATTGCCCTGGTAATCTTTCTTTGGCACAAATTTGGTACTTTTACAATTCTACCTTGCCTAAAGGAGGCGCCTAATAAATTCCTGCTGAGTCAAAATGAAAATCTTTAGTAGTGCTTTATTGCCTCCTGAGTAAAAATCAAATGTCTTGCATTCAAGGCCCTCTACAAACTGGTACCATTCTATCTTTAATGTCTTATCTTATATTGCTCCATGTAGTCTAAGCATCCAGACAAGCTGGTAAACTCTCTGTTCCCAGATGTGCTCTACATTGACCTGGCTCTCTGTGCCTTTGCTAATATCGTTGCCCATGCCCAAAATGTCCTGCCTTCACTTCCTTTACTGGATCAGAGATGACTGTTGGGACATGAAAGCTGTCTTCAAGTGTTTGAAGGGCTCTTATATGGAAGAGGGATTACACTTTTTCTTTCTACCCAGAAGAAAGAACTGGGAGCAGTGGTTATTAGGAGCAAAGAGGAGCAAAGACTTGTGGCAATGGAGGAAATAAAGTTTAGATGAAGTATAGTGCTAATAGGGAGAGAGACATAAACATAGTTAGGTATAATATGGAATCCCTTATAAGAAAAAATTTTAAAAGGGAAAGAAAGGAGGTGAAAGTACTGAAAAATTAATTAATACATCAAAAAAGTCTAACGTGAGCAGTATTTCACACCCATGTCTCCTTCCTTACTTGTTACAAAGGGTTTTTTCTTTTCCTTTTGTTTTTCCAAAGTGGGAAGAGTGAATGGAAGAGAAAAATCAATTTGTGTTCATTGAAAAAAAAGTTTAATTTTCAAGAAAGGCACTCATAACCTCTTCTACCATTCTATACTTCATTGGCAGTCACTGTGAGGCCTCAATCATACATTGTACCATTCTTAGAAAGCTCTCTGCCCAACATAATGAAATATTTTAAGGCTGTCTTCTACTTACCAGCTAACTGCTAAAACATATATAGTTTCCAAGTTTTTCCTAACTGTGTTTAGAACTCAATACTAAGAAAAAACACTGTCTGAAACATCTGAATTGCAAATTATTGGTCACAAACTTAGGAAGCCCAAGAATCCAAGTGAAGCTCAAAACTTGGCATGTTCAATTGTCCTCTCTCCCCCACCTCCACACATGGGTAATTAGAAAAAGAGATGACTTGTTCAACATAGTTAAAGAAATCATACTGCTGCAAAACTTCTAAGTAACCTCTCCCCAAAACCAAAAATACTATTTGGCCAATGATGGCATTTGCCACGGATCTAGCAAGGATTTACATCCTAAATATCCCATTCCAAAGACAGCCAGCAGAACACCAAGATGGTTCAACCACATGGAAAGGATGCTGATAAAGGCACCAAGAAAGGAATCACAGGTTGCTTTTACTGTTCTTTTCATTTAACAAGCTCTTTGTGGAGCTTTAATTACATCAAGAAGCAATTGTTATAAGAAGACACAATTGGTAGGCTGCTATCCCTTCTGTTCAAAGCTTTGTCCCAGCATTGTAGTGATGAAGTGACTTAAGAGTGGGGAATGTAGTTTAGGGATTTCTTGTCTAAAGTGAGCAGTTGGGTGGACACTCCTTTAGGAAGTGACTTTCTTTCCAGGAATATTTAGGAAGCACCACAACATTGTCTCCAGCTTTCCAATAAACAGGAATACTAGCAAATTTCTTTTATGCTGTCAACCAAATGGAATCAACTACTCTGAATTGAAGGTCCTGCCAGTAGTTGCTGGGCAGAGGATAGGTTTCTTATTTGGACCAAAAATCAATATCATGGTAGTTATCACAGGCATGCCTTCACCCCTCAGCACAATCAGGTCCATCATCCTTAACTGGATGGGAAGGCCTTGTTTCTGTCATCAGTGGTGGTGGGAGGTAGCTTCTCTGTGGGTCTATGCATTGATATCTGCATTCTAGGCAATGTGGCCCTAGACATGGTCAATGGAAAGGGAAATCTTCTTGACATTTTTCTTGGCCAGCTCTGGTGCCAGCTTTGCAACTCAGCCTAGCTCTGTTTGTAAACTATGGTAGAGTCCAGAGAGTGGGAGAAGAGAATGTCCCCTATGAGCGTCCTACAAAGTCACGGGAATGAAGGAAGCTGACTTTGGTTTCTGCATTGAGGCTGGCTGCAGTGTGTCCTGAGTAGCAGACCTCCTGAGTTGGTTATAGTAACAGCAAGGAGGAGGAGAGGGAGTGGCAATAGCAGCACTGACAGGAAGAGCCAAAGCAAACATGCACTAGCCCTGGTAACCATTCTGAGGCGAGATTTAAATCCAAATCTCCTGACCTCGGGCTCAATACAATTTCCACCACACTAAATGTTCTCAAAGTGTGATGTGCCCACACTAGGAAATCCTTGAGACTTTTTCAGAGGGTCCACAAGAGGGTCAAAACTATGTCCATAATAATACCAAGATGTTATTTGCCTATTAAAATATGCTTCCCTTTTCCAACTACTTATCTGTGTGAGGTTGGATTTGCTTCATATGCTTCAACCAAAACAACAAATCACAAAAAAAGTTGAATGCAAAAGTCAATAGGAGAATCTAGCTATCTTCCATTAAGCCAGACATTAAAGAGATTTGCAAAAAATATATAAAAGAATGCCAGTCCTCACTAACTTTTTTGCTTTAGAAAATATAGATATTTTTCATAAAATGTCATTTGTGCTAATACATAATGGACTTTTTGCTGTAATTAATGAATTAAAATATTTTGAAAATTCAACAGTTTTAATTTCTAATATGGTAAATATCAATAGATGTAACTCACATAAACAAAAGCTCTTTGGGGGTCCTTTGTAATTTATAGGAATGTAAAGGGATCCTGAGACCAGAAGGTTTGAGAACTGCTTCTCTATGCATAATTGCCCTTCCAATAATGGCTAACATTTATAATCCTCTTTACTTTTTATACAACATTTTCCATACATGATTTCACTTGATCATCTTCTTTCCTTGATGATTCCAATTCTTTCATTCGGAGCTAAGTAGAAAAAGTCTAATCCATTTCTTACCTTATAACCTTCGAACGCTTGAAGTCAATTCTCATGACCCTAGGCTAAACACTCTAGTTTCTTTAACAGATCCTCACATGGTACTGTCTTCCCATATTCTCATTCTGATTGCCTTCCTCTGGACAAGCTCCAATTTTCAACGTTCCTCCAAAATGTGGTACCTAGAACTAAACCCAACACTCCAGATAGAATCTTATCAGAGCAGAGATGTATGGGTGAGCAATACCACACTTATTGAAGAATGGTTTGCGCTATGAGAGAACAGAGTATTTTATCTTCAACGTGTGTGGGATGTGACCTAAAAAAAATGCTTAGAGGTATCTCAAGGTAGGAACAGAAAATTTATTTCAATTCTCAAGAATCAGGTGTCCCTCCACCAGTATTGCTGTGATGAAGGGAGACAAAATACAGAAATAAAAAGCCAGTTTAAATAACCCTAATGGAGAAAATTCCCCCTCCCACCAACTATCCAATATTTGGCTTACAATCTAAGTGCAAAAATCTATTCCCAGAGACAGAGAACAAAGAAACAATATACATATCCATCACCTTAGTTTGCTGCAAAAATGAACAATTTAGAACGTGTGATCAAGCTAGATGCTACTGTGGGAAGGTCATTGTGACCGGAATGTAGCAACAGAATATGGGGGTACAGGGTGGGGTTTCAGGCTTGGCAATCTTCAACTACTAATGTCAGACTGTGAGAAAAAGGAAACTATGGAAATCTCCAAATTCAGGATAGTCTTATCCCAAACCTTAATTATACTGAGAAGTCTTCATAGGGACATCCCACTCAATTCCCTCTTCTTATTATATTATCTGAAGACTTCTCACATCATTGTTGATACATTTCCTCAATCAATCTATCTACCCCCTCTTGTATTGCATTTTGTATTCCCTTCTTAGGAATTTGCCCATTTCCTTCCCCATTCTCAACTTCTTCTTCTTCTTGGTTTATTATAATCTCCCCCTGTTCCTTCAAAACTCACAACTTGAGTGATATTAGTTAAAACAACTTTATGATCAATGTATCCTACCCAAGGTATAAGAAATGCTGTGGTTTTCCTAACCCACCATAAGAAATTGTCCCGTGAACCCTGTTTAGTGCGGTATAAAATCTGCATCCCAGGATTAATGACACCTAATGTACATTAACCATAATTTTTGTAGGGACTCAGACATTGGAAGGCATTGAGAATAGTAACCATATCCCACAGTGTATGTTTAAGCCAAGCCTCATATACAATTAAGGAGTGTACCGGCCACGCCGACCTTATGCCGGCCACACCGAACACTCCTCCTATAAGGAGCAGGCTTCCAGAGTCATACTCACTCATCAGTCTTCGGTCCTCAACCGGATAAACACACAGAGACGAGCCATCGGGAGGCGCCAACACCAGAGCTTTATTCAGAGGCCATCACAGCAAGCCATCAGAGCAGGAGCAAAGAGAGAGCGCGTGATCTGACCACTCTCGTTCCTTAAGTACCTACTTAGCCCCTCCTCCCCAGCCCACTTACTAGCCAATGATTGTAGGGTCAGATACCGGAAGGCGCTGTCTGAGTTTAGCATACCAAGGGAGAGGGAGTGACGTAGGAGGCTAGGACCGGATACAGGAAGGAGGCGTCTGGGATTAGTTCATAGACAGAGTACGTGACCTAGGAAGTCAGGAAGGACACAGGAAGGAAGTGTCTGGGGTCAGTGCTACACAAAGGGACCCAGGAAGTCAGGAAGGTCACAGGAAGGAGGCATCTGGGGTTGACGTTGCAAATAGGGAGGGGACTAAGCAAAGGGAACTCGTCCTCTGCCGTCCCACTCCCACGTGGCACCGCCCCTTGCCTCAGGAGCACAAACTCCGGCTACTTCCTTGCACCCAGCTTATCTCACATAGCACTGCCCACTGCCTCAGGGCTTCTCCGTACCCAGCCCATCCCAGTTCACCACGACTCCGCCTACCACAGCCCCTGCCTTGACTTCCAAATGCCCAGATTCTACCCCAATCTTGCCACAACATCCACCTGGTAGCTGCCAACATAGACAGTCCCTCACAAAGGAGTCTGTAAACCTGCCACACACAAATATATATCCTGCTGGAGCACACACCAAATTTAACCTAGTAGATTTTCCTTTACACAAATGTAAGTAAAGGGTCCAATCTAGGCAGTCCCATTTAGACTGATTAACACAGGACCATAATGTCTAGCCTGATTATAAGTTCTATTTGAAAAAGGATTCCCAGTATCAAAACAAGATACTGATTGAAATATATCCTTATCCAGTTGCACCTGGAATACAGGGGTGGCATACCTCGTAGAGGGATATGGATCTGGCCAAGTGGTGAGGGTCTGTAATCCCCTGTATTGTGGTGAGCCACTTCTCACCTGAGGATGCAACTGACATACCCAACAATCCCTTGGTCCACTGCTAGCCACTGCTTGTCCCAACCGTACAAGGGAGTTTTGCTGCCATTCTGATACTATGGGAAAAATCATATTCACAAGTAGTAACGATCTTACCAAAGAAACTTCCATGGTGTCACACTATAATTACA